TATAGTAATAGAGGATAGACTAGGAATAGAGATTGTTAGTCATCAGCTACTTCCTACATATATGCATTTCTTCTATGGTCATGTGGTCTACTTGATTCAATAATGGGATCGCCTATGTTTGCTCACTGGTGATCTATGTTCAAACTCAAGTGTCGGCAGTGACCCTTTATTCCTATATAACAGTTAAAATCAGTGGTTTAACATAAATCATATTTTGTATGAAATAACCTCCTACTTTGTCTTTTCCTCTATGGTCACGTGGTCTACTTAATTCAATAATGAGATCGCCTGTGTTTGCTTACTGGTGATCTATGTTCAAACTCAAGTGTCGGCAGTAACACTATCCCTATATAACAATAATACAACCCTCTTTATTTGCCTTTTAATTCAAAATTTCTCGTATTATGCACACGAAAATATGGTAGATCATGATGGACGTTAGTTAATTCTCATTCTCTCTCTCTCTCTCATTTGATACCACTTTTTCACTCACTCTCATTCTTTTATCTCTCTTATTTCTATCTTTTTCATATCATTTATAATCTGTGCATGTGACTTTCATTATTCCATACTGGGTGTCATATTCAACTTGACATTTAGACCGGTTTCATTCTGATTGTGCAACAATGATGACAGTGTTATCAGATAATTTGCAAGCTATTTATTACATGCACCATTACACCTAACCTCATATATTTGTCAGGCAAGTATTGATAACTGAAGTATTCGTTCTTTATATATTCTCATCTCAGATGCTGAAATATTTTTAATTTTCTCTCCATATCCCCAACATTTTCCATTTAGAAAAAAAAAACAAAACAAAGAATCCCTGTGATTATAGACTTCTTTATTCTGACATGTTTCTCATCTTGAAATGTTTTGATTGCATTAATTCAATCCTTGCAGCAAGTATAAAATTGCGATCTCAGTCATAAACTTGAAAAAAAAGTGAAAAGAGAAAATTCTTCTTTTATGTGCCATGTCTCTTCCTAACATAGGCGATCATAGCTCTCCACATCTTCCTATCCTTTGAGCACTTAATAAGTTTTATCTTTTTTTTTTTATTTCTCCCAAACCCATTTACTCAAGCTCATCGAGTATGTTACATGCTGCTTTCCTCTCTCCCTCTTTCTCTCAATCTGTCCTGTGAGTATCAGGTTTTCCAAGCTCTCATTCCTCATTAGATGCCCCAGAAACCTCAACTGCCTCTTCCTGATGTTAAGTTCCTTTTTGTTTCCATTCTTTTTAAAATCTTGTTGCTCACAAGCTCGGCCCATGGTATCTTCAGCATCTTTCTGTTCCTTCAAGTCTTTTCATCTTTTAGGATATTGTCCAGAATTACAGAAACAATAAATGATTGTGAGATATCCACAAGCAAATACAATAGAATGATGTCATTATTTCTTTAAGAAACACTTTTCAACAGTCTTTTATTTTACACATTTACTTCATAACTTTTACTACCTTTAGTTTGCTTATTTCTGGGGCATGCCTATTTTGCTCCCAATATTTAATTAGATGGAATGAGCAGAAACACTATTACCAAATGAATATTCTCCCAGTTTGTATTTCCCCCATTATGGTCATTATTATATCTATGATATAATAGCACCTTATTCTACAGACAGAATGGAATGGCTGAAAGAAAAAGGAATGATAAGCATGGTCTCAGTTTTATGCTGCTAAGTCGTACACAAAATTATGTATACATATTTACATTTGTCCAAGAGAGAAAATATAACCTGTATACAACAACAAGCAGAGTGAAAAGAGACGAATAAAGAGTCTTACATATAATAATACTTGACAGGAACTTGATTCTTCTGTGTTTCTGGAGAAGCCATATTATGATTCCAGATTCAAGCAGGTCAGGGGAGTCAGGAAAAGCAACTGTTCCTGGAAAATGACTGAAGAACTGACCACAGTTGTTACTCTATGAAGTGATGTCTCTAAGCAGTGGTCGCATGACTCAGTTGATTTCATTATGACCAAAGGGAGATATTCAGCTCTATAAGAAAAACACCTGAAGAAGAGGAGTCTAAAACAGCTGAAACATTGTGAAACTGCCAAAATGAGTGAGGACAATAATCCAAATGAATTAATGTATAATGATAATTCCTCAACTCAACAATTCAATCAAAAAAAAAAAAATATCACAGGTTTTCATTTGTTAAAATGATGCAATAACTATTTTCATGGCAATTTTTCTGATGAGTTTTCCTCTTTGTTAAATGAAAAATGAACAGAAATAGAAAGAATGAGTATCACAAATTAAGCAGATATGCATAAAAAATAAGAGAACTAACAGGACAAAAGACATGCTCTTCAGTAGGATGAATAAAAACCAATGACGGAATGCTGATATTAGAGAAAGAAAAATTATCTCAGAGATAGAACGAATATATTGGAGAACTCTTCCACGAAGAAGAACAACCAGTAATACATAGAACTGTCGATGGACCGGAAATATCAAAATCTGAAATGGAATCTGCACTAGCCAAATTGAACAAAATCAAAGCGGCAGGGCCAGACGGAATTGTAATAGAGATGCTGGCAGGCTTAGATGATCAGAAATAATAAATGAAATCTACAGCAGTGGTGATATGCCGGAAAACCTAAGTCGATCTATTTTCATAGCACTGCCTAAGAATCCAGAGACAACATATGTTAGCTCTATCGAACAATCAGCCTAATGAGCCATATAACAAAACTTATCATTCGAATTCTGATGAATACAGCGCACAGCAGAATCGGACCAGAAATGGGAATGCAGGTTCCTCAAAGACACTGGGACAAGGAACTCTATATTTACACAACAAATGCGGAGAAAAATGGGTCCAATGGTGCACGGCAAATGATGAGGTAATAGCCAACATCTGGTTCCTGCACCGGCCAAATTGAACAGATACAGAGCGGCAGGGCCAGACAGAATTGTAATAGAGATGCTTGAGGCCTTAAACAATTTCAGCATAGACATAATAAATGAAATCTACAACAGTGGTGATATACTGTAAGACCTAAGTAGACCTATTTTCATAGTACTGCCTAAGAAGCCAGTCAGGTTCATTACATTCACTTATGCACAAATGCCTTTGAGGAAAGGCATGAACTTATATCCTTCCGCCATATATGGGTTAATTAACAGGATTTCTATCTAGAAAAAAAATTCATTGTTATTCACAAAATATTGTTAATGCAATATTCACTTGCAAAAAAAATCTTTCAATCCAAAATGTTATGACTTTAAATAACCTACAAAAAGTTGATAAGCCACAAAAAGTAAATCAATCAATCAAGAAACAAAATTATTATAGGCAAAATGTTTGACTCCTTACCATCCGTCTTTATCCTTGCACTGCTGTTGATTCGCACAAACTCATTAGATTACTTGCTGTTTATCTTTCCTTCTTTCTCTATGTACTGTGAGCAGGGCTGGTGTAAAGGGATCCCCACTCTACCACATCACAATTTTCATAAGCTAGTATTTATATAAAATACAAATTTTATTGTAACCTAAATATGTATAATAATGGATTATATGCAATACAGGTGAACAATTCAGTACAAAAAATTAAAAATACATATAGAACATACCTAAATACAAATTAGAGATGTATCATAATAGATCATGCTTTCTTAAATAAATCAATGTTTTGTGGGCAAATCATTATAGTAATTCATTGAGTCTAGAAGAATCCTCAGCAGAATGCAGAAAGCACTGGACGACCATTTCATCCTATTTTGGGACTCCTCAGCAGTGCGCATTCACTACTGAGATTCGAACCCGGACTGTTTCAATACAACACAAGTGTCATACCAACTGTACCAATGGGCCTCGGTGACAAAGAAGAAACTCAATAGACTTGATATAATGCCACTACTCACAAACAGTCCAGGTTCGAATCTTGGTAGTAGATGCACTCTGCTGATGAGTCCCAAAATAGGATGAAATGGGCGTCCAGTGCTTTCTGCATTCTGTTAAGGAATCTTCTAAACTCAATGAATTACTATAATATATATATATATATATATATATATATATATATATATATATATTTTAAGACATACTATATTTATGAGTTAAAGTGCTCAATATCAAGGATAAACCATATGATGATCTCAATGTCCACCAGGATGGGACATTTCATCACCGCCGACTCAACACCAGCCAACTCATCTCCGTGACAACACTGGCTCACTCACCACCAACCTACTTAGTCTGAGGACAACTCAATGCTGGTGTCAAATTCATAGCTTCAGGCAGGTGTTGGCTGTCATTGTGTGTATATCTCTTAGATCAGCTTTGAGCTGTACAAATCTTGAAAGTTTGGCTGTTTGTCTTCAGGATTAATTAGTTACAGCAGCCTTATTTGTCTGACTAGTGTTTTAATTTTCAAGATCGGACAAATAACTATGCTGAAGCAAATAGAAGACTGCACACGGAGCACCCCACAATGTGGAGATTCATTACGGGGCTGCAAAATATGCAAAGAAACCAAGGTGCATTTTTCAAGCAGTTAATTGGAGGTCATCCCCTCCCCTTAAATTGAAGAAGTCTATGACAGTAGATGAAAGAATTTTGCAAATTGTTTCTTCTTTTTCACAACCATCTCCAACTGAATATTTTAGGGGGAATTGCATACAAATTTTCAATAAAGTCATATATTAAAAAATGAGCCTTAATAAATTGCTTTTATTTGTTTTTAAAAAGTTGCTGAAAACATTTCATACTTTGCATATCATTGAGTTGTCCTTTGCATGTCCTCTCCCACACTTGAAACAAAAATGAAAGCACAGAAAAATCCTTCAGAATTTTCCAGAATTGAATTTAGTTGTGAATTTAAGTTCTTTGCTTTATTTTAAATCCATTTACTTGAATATGATAAAGCAATGAGAAAAAAAAGATTATTTATTGTTAAATCTTGAGCACCATATTGTCTTTTATGTTTTTGTTTGTTAAATACATTTGGTTGCTTTTCATTTTACATATAATTTTTCAGACATCAACTCCAAACGCCAGGTAAATATGACCAGCTTCAGGCTTTTTACAATGACAAGAAAGGTTTATTGCCGAGTTGTAATGAAAATTTAAGAAGGGTAGCTTCAGATTCAGATGGGACGACGACCACTTCTTCAGCACCGAAACCAAATGAGTCCTGGTCAGTTTCATCCACGCCAAATCATGAAATTTTACCAGAATTGAAGGTGAGTTGATGCAAAATGTTTTTATTTTTCTACTCCCAAGAAAGGGCCAAGTTACATTAATTATATATATATATATATATATATATAAAGTCATCCACAGACAGACTGTTTCGCTGTTTCACAGCTCTTCAGTGTGGCGAGACATCCGGTTGCCTCTAGCTAGGGTCGAAACCCGACTGAATTGGTGTCAGTCAGAGATTCTACCACTAAGCCGTCGGTGCACGGCAGGGATGAAGGTGAATTTTAGCATATTTATTTTTAGATAAACACACACAGTGACCTACCGTAACTCAATTCGCTTTTGCCGAAGAGTCTCGCTATATATATATATAATTAAATTTAATGAAAAACAGACCACTTTAAGGTACCATTACAATAATTTATTTCACCAAAAGGATTTTTTTTTTTCATTGTTGGAAGTGTTATCTGATGATCCGAAATCCTTTAAAAAGGATTTTGATGAAATAAATTATTGTAATGGTACCTTAAAGTGGTCTGTTTTTCATTAAATATTAGCTCTGTTCTTCACATTGAGCTCTCAGGATTTCATACTCCTTGGATTTACCAATTCGGTTTACCAAGTTCTTCATAACTTAAATATATATATATATGACTAGTGCATTTGTTAAGTTGTTTCCACATGTGACAGTACTTGATGTAATTTTCAGTTAACAATATGTATATAATAGCATTTTCTATATTTTTCCAGTTGCTAAGGACATTTTTGTTTTGTTATGAATAGTTACTTTGTTTTAATAAATTCATTTCGTTTTTGCCTTGAAAAAGTCCACATTAGACGAAATGCGTCGGCTAATATTACAATTTTCCTATTGTCTATTTATAAATATTGTCTCTTTCTGCAGGTTAACTTGTCTGTGTGTGTGTGTATATATATATATATATATATATATATATATACACACACACACAGACAGACATGATAGAATTGACTAGACACTCACAGAAACCATTTATTTTATTAAACAAGTAATTTATACAAATGAAGTAATTATAAATGGTCATAAATTTAATAACTAATACAAGGTGTTCAATAGGGTTAATATCCGGGGACTGACTTGGTCACCGAAGTTTATTGATCCCATTTTGTCTCAACCAATGTTGCGTTGCTTGAGCAGTGTGACATGGAGCTCCATCTTCCATAAATAGGGAGTCCACTTTGCTCATTCTACTACTTGAGAATATTGGAAGGAGCTCTTTCTTTAATATAGAAACATATTTGGTTGAATTAATGTTTCCTTCACACTCCACATGGTCTGAGCGACCATCACTCCAAATTGCACCCCATACCATTACTGAAAGGCCCCCATGTTTCACCGTTGGTTGCAGTCTTCTTAAATCAAACTCTTCACTACAGAGTCTCCATACCCATACTCTTCCACTGTCAGAAAATAATGCGAATCTTGACTCATCAGAGAAAATGACAGTGGTCCAAAAGGTCACAGGTCTCTCCACCATCTCATGAGCCCAATCCTTTCTGTGTTTGATATTGGCTGAACGGAGAAGTGGTTTCCTTCTCGCAGCTCTGCCATAGTAGCCCAGCTTGTGAAGATACCTGACAGCTGTTCTGGGACTGACATCAACTTGTGTTGCTATGTCAGAGGCCTTGCAATGTGGATCCTGTTCAACATTTCTTTTGACAAGACGCATGGTTCTTTCAGAGGGCCCAGGGCGGCCTGGATGAGGTTTTGTGAACTTCTGGCCCTCTCTGGTGAATTGTACGATCACTCTATTAACAGTAGAAAGGGGTATTGAAAGATTTTCAGATATTTTTCTTTGACTAAGACCACCTTCATGTTGACCCACGATACGTCCTCGCTGAAATTCGGAGGGGGTCTGATGCTCCTTTGGTTCATGGCATGTTCCAGTATTGTTATCTGCAATTTTAATAAAATAATTTAATAAGTTAATAAGTTTAATAAGTTAATTTAATTTTAAGTTTAATAAGTTAATTTATCTTGGTTATTAAAAAAAAATCAGAAATAAAATTTATCTTGGTGTCTATTCAATTCTGTCATGTCTGTGTGTGTGTGTGTGTGTGTGTGTATATATATATATATATATATATATATATATATATATATATATATATATATTGTTAAATATAACAGACAACAAATGTCTATTATGTTTGATCATTAGACTCCACTGTTACATCTGTTGTAATTAAACTCCACTGTTACATCTGTTGTAATTAAATAAAAGTATTCATTATTTTTCTTACTTTTCCTTCCTTTCTTTTTCTTACTTTTCCTTCCTTTCTTTTTGCAAATATTTATTTATTTATTTTTTTTTTTCAGATAACTCATCCTGCTGGTTGCTTTTCACAGTTCATCAAATTCTTTGGTGAACATATTTTCATTCTTTGGAAATACATTCTCTTACAGAAAAGGATTTTGTTCTTTTCTCCTCCACCAATAGGCGTAGTTTGCTATCGAGGTAAGTTGCTACTACTGTTTAGTTATTGATCTAGTGTTCTATAACTTTTTGGGAGTGGAATAAACTGCTTCTTCACTCCCAATTCTTCTTTTTCAGCACATGGGCAATCATGGCTCTCTACAACTTCCTATCCTTTGTAGCTTTAAGTAATGTTTGTTTCTTTAGTATTGCTTCCAGTCTCAGTGAGGTACCTTCCTTGCCATTTCCCTCTGCCCTTTCAGGACATGGCTGATCATGGCTCTCTACAACTTCCTATCCTTTGTCATATCTGTCTCCTTACTATCTCTCCCTGTGCCTGTTCTGCTTGCTTACACATATATCACATTCAAACACCAGTTCTTATATGATCACTGCAGTTGAGCAGTGTTGAGCTTGGTCAGTACCTAGATGGGTGACTGCTTGGGAATACCAAGTTCTGTAAATTTGGATGCAAAGTTGGTGCAATAATGTGATAATGGCTCAAAACTGGAGCTGATTTTCAATTCTTATTGGATTCATATATTTACTTAAAATGCAAATACTCTTGGGAAATGTATAAATCCACCTCTTCCTCCCCCAGCTATGGGTTAATTAATATGACTTCTGCCAGTAAATCATTATTATCTTCAAAAGTTTCTTACAGTGTAAAAATATTGTCTGGCTTTAAATAACCTGCAACCCCCCCTCCAAAAAAAAGCAGATCAATCAATCAAAACCTGTTCAGCCATTCATTTGCTTAAACTTTCCTTGTGTGTGTATATATTTTCCTTCTGCTCTTCCTGCTTTCTGTATGTCCTGTAAGTGTCAAATTTTCTAAACCTTCTTTCTTCTTCATGTGTTACAAGAATTTCAACTGTCTTTTTCTGATTCAAAGCTTCAGGTAATCTGTCACATTAGTTTTGAAACAATATAGGAGAAAGTGATAGACTTTCTGGGCGTTATGGCTTGGATGCATCCATTATCACCGATTCCTTACCCCCACATTCAGAAATCAGCAAAGAAGCTGATGGCAGCTGTCTTCTGGGATTCACAAAGCTTGTTACTTGTGGACTTTCTATACTTCATGTTCAGACAATTATCACAGATACTGTGAGGCGCTAGAACCATTGTCCTCAAAGTAGGATGCATGCCCCATGGAGGTGGGGGGGGATTTAATTAGGATGGGGCAATAGAAGTATGATTTATTAACAGTAATTTTTTTTAGTGATTCTGTGAGAGTTAATACATATGGTGTGTATATACAGAATGCATGCATAAAAATATTTGTGTGTATTTATGTCTGGCTTTAAATAACCTGCAAAAAAACCCAGATCAATCAATCAAAACCTTTTTTGCTTAAACTTGTTAGGTACATTATTTACTGTTTCCTTCTGCTCTTCCTGCTTTCCGTATGTCCTGTAAATATCAAATTTTCCAAACCTTCTTTCCTCTTCATGTGTTACAGGAATTTCAACTGTCTTTTTCTGATTCAAAGTGTGTCATTTTATCACATTTTCTCACATTCTTCATCCACAACATTCTAAACATCATTATATTGTTGATTTTAACCTATACACTAAGACGGCTCTAAGTAACTAAAAGACCTACCACAATTTATCATCAGTGGACATAATCTTAACAGTATAAGATATGCAGATGACACTATGTCAGTGGTAGACTAAGAAAGAAAACTGAAAAATTTCCTAAGACAAGGTAGCAAAGGAAAGCAAGAAGAAAGGAGTAACTATTAACTGTAAGAAGACGGAATGTATGGTTGCCAGTAAGAAGGAGAGTTACTAATTGGTGTGAATTACAAATTGGAGATATTAGAATCATGTAGGTACGGAAATTTAACTACATGTGTAAGGTTGTAACAGATAACAGAGGATATGAAACAAATCTGAAGGAACATTGGAATAAGGAAAGATGCCTTCCAGAAACTAACAAAGTATTAAGAAATAGGAAAATTTTGTTAGAAATAAAGAAAAGCATACTGAACTACTATCTTATATTGGTCCTATTCTGGACAGATGTCCCTCTACAGATAGATGCTTGGAATAACATGAACAGGATGCATGAGGAAGTTTTAAAGGAAATGGAAACTAAAAGGATTTATACTTAAAATTAAAAATTCAGAGAGACCTAATGTGAAAAGAGGGTCTGGAGAATTTAACACTCACAGGACATTGAAGGCAGAAGGAGTAAACCGAGTAACTTACTGAACAAGTTTAATGACAGAACAAAGATAACAATAATGGAAATATTAACTGTTTCCTTATTAGAAAACATTTGGCATTCACTGACCAAGCAGCCAGTACTGCTTTTGGTTGAAATTTATAAAATCTTTCTCTTAAAACAATTTTTCAGGAAAAGTCAAGCTGTTATTGCTTTTTCCAGTATTGATGGGGGTTTCCTTCCTAAACTTTTATTTGTAGTAGTGTGGAATGTCAACATCTTGATTATGTCATCATTTTCTCTTCAAGTTACATGTGCTATCCATTTTAGTTGTTGCTGCTGTTGGTAATCCTCAAATGATGTGGTTTCTATTATTTGGTACAGTTCTTAGAGCTACATGAACAGAAAGTTGTGGAGAGCCATGATTGCTCATACCCTGAAGGATCAAGGCATATAAAAGAAACGTGCTACTTTGTCTTGTGAATGTTTTCTTAAGTAGATGCTTTTCCCCTTTCTATTTTTTTATTGGTTGTTAAAGCAAGCTGTTACTTGGAAATTTAGTATTTGACCTTGTCCATCAGATAGAAAATCAAATGTATAGACACTTTAGTTGTTAATGACAAAAACCAAACAGGCCATTGTCCTGGGTATGACGATAAATTTCATCCGCGTCCTGGGTATGACGACAAGCTACATCTGCGTCCTGGGTAAGATGATAATGTCCAACAGCAAGGCCTCTAATCAGGCGGCTTTGAGGAGCGTGGAACCACCTCTTAATTGATGGTGGTTATAAAAGTGTAAAAATAGGTTTTAATACCAGAAATACTTTGTAAAAAATTATTGCCAGAAATAAATTTTTGAAGAAAAAAAAATATTACCAACAATACATTTTTGAAAAAAATAATTATTACCAGCAATACATTTTTGAAAAAAAAATATTACCAACAATACGTTTTTGAAAAAAATAATTACCAGCAATACATTTTTGAAAAAAAACGTATTACCAGCAATACGTTTTTGAAAAAAAACGTATTACCAGCAATATTTTTTTGAAAAAAACGATACAGCAATACGTTTTTGAAAAAAAAACGTTTTTGAAAAAAAAAAAAATAATATTACCAGCTATACATTTTTGTGGAAAAAAATATTAACAGAAATAGATTTTTGACAAAACAAAAATATTACCAGGAAAAAAAAAAAGTTGTCAGCATTAAATGACCCATTGAGGTTGATATGCCATAAAACAAAACAAACAAACAGGTCAGTAGTGTTTATCTGGGTGAAGCCATTTCTTCCCATTCTATCAAACCCTGTGGTTAAGAGTTTGATTAGAAGTGAAAATATAATTATTAGGCTATAACCGTCATGGGATCAAATGCACCATTTTGCCATTATTAGTTCACTTTCTAGGATCTAAAACCTGTGCATCATCAAAGGCTTATTAACTTCAAGCCATCTGTCACCAAACTATTGCAAAGAGATACTATTTGATTATAATGGAGAAGGTTGCAGTTGGTCATTAATTTGTAGTGAGAACTATTACAACTCATGACTGATTAGGGTGAAGTCTTTCAAAAGAAACAAATTCAAAAAATGGACGATTTTTATACATATATATTTTTTAATGCCAAGAGCAAAGTAGGTTACAAATGAAGAGAAAGAAAACTTATGTTCATGTGTACATGGATAGTTAAAAAAAAAAAAAAAGCAAACAAAATAGGGGAATCACTTATGCACTTATACTGTGAGTATGACAACATTTTTTTTTTTTTTTTTTTTTTTTTTTTGTAAATTAAGTAATCGGCTGGGCAACTAAGTCTCCCCAGAAAGGAAAACTCGATACAGGTTGATTTTTCACTTTGTTTTTCGAAATCAACATTGCACTCAGTGTGAAAGCTGGGATAGGATGTGGTAATTACTGACGCTGAAAATTAGATTCATAGCTTTTACTAATTTCCGAGCATTTAGTTTTAAAGGTCATTTGAAACAAATGTACAGAAATACTTAGTTTTCACAGCTGTTTGCGTACAAACTGACTTCAAAATGTCACTATTTCAAGAATAAATCCAGTTGAAATTTCTAGGGTGAATAATGAGGAAAGAAGGCTTGGAAAATTTTACACTCACAGGACATATTGTAGGCAAGAAGGACAGGGAAAAACATTGTAAAACCTACGTAATAAGCTTGTGTAAATGGATGGCATAACAGGGTTTAGGAGAGATAAAAGATAAAATTTACTAAGAGCTACAAAGGAGAGGAAATTGTGGAGAGCCATGATCAACAACATTCTGAAAAGGACATTGCACATAAAATAGAATATTGTTTGTTCATTTTTTTTTTGTTTTTTTTTTTATGTCCATATTCTGTTCATGCTTTTTTTTTCTTTTTTTTTATGTCCATATTCTGTTCAAGCATCTCCTTTGGTCCTTTAGGTCCAGTGTCCATTATTGTCAACAGCATTCTGGACAATCTCTCTTTCTTCTTTAACCATCTTCATACAATTTCAGATTGCTGAGTTTTGAATTCAGATGTGTCCTCCTCTTAAATATTTTTTTTTCTTACTAATACGAGGCTTAAGATCTACTTAAAGTAAAATCTTACTGCATGGTTTTGTAGGAGTGTAAGAAAAGACAATAAGTGACATTATGTAATAAAGATAAACGTTTAACTCTAGTCTTGATGAGAAAACTGTGGAAAGCCATAATCAGCAATGCCCTGAAAGAGATCGGACTTATAAAGAAAAAAAAAATTAACAAATAATCTTCTGTTTTCTTCTACGTTCATATTCTGTCTATCCATCTCATTTGGGTCCAGTGTCCATTGACGTCAACAGCATTCTGGACAATCTCTCTTTCTTGTCTAACCATCTTCGTACAATTTCAGATGGCTGGGTTTTGAATTCAGAGTTGTCCTCCCCTTAGATATTTTTTTTCTACTAATACAAGGCTCAAGATCCACTCAAAGTAAAATGTTACTGCATGGTTTTGTAGGAGTGTAAAAAAAAAAAAAAAAAAGACAAGAATTGTAGTTCATGAAATTACATAGGAAAGATAAATAGTTAACCCTAATCTTGAAGAAGACAAGATTGTAATAATTGGTTATTTAAAGCCAAAAAAATATTGTTAGATTGTAAAAATTTTTTGGAGATAAAAATTATTTTGACAAGAGTCTACTAATTAACCCATAGCTGGAGAAGTGAACTTTCACAAGGGTATTTGTACATAAGTGAATATCACAAATCCAACTGGAGTTGGAACTCTGCTTTGATTTCCAATTGGGATCCATTATCCATTACACCACTCGCACAGATAAACTTACAGCACGTTCTATTCCCAAGTGGTCACCCATCTAGATACTGACCAGCCTCGAATTTGCTTAACGAGTGATCGTATGATAACCTGTATTTCAACAGGATATAGCTATAAGCCCTGTTGTGATTAGGGAAAAAATCCTGCCTGGAGACTGTTCCACAAAGCAACAGTTTTTCGGAAGTAGCTGCCTGAGTGGATCTTACTTGTTACTAATGGAATACAAAGGAAATGTGGATGATTCATCTTTGTGTATGTAGTATGGTGGATCCTAAGTTGCATACCATGAGGAGAGAATGAAAAAATAGATGAAATTATCAGTTTAATAATCTTTTTGTATCTAAATTGGTTGGTTTTTTTTTGTATATGTTTGTCAATAATTATTGAACAGTTCTAACTGAATAGTTATTGCCAATCAAAGAATATTAATCTACATTAGAAAACATATTTAGTGTGTGGATTCACTTCCGTATGTCACTGCACAGGCTGTGATGACATCTAAGGTTGGCTGTATGTGTATACATCTAGCTCACTATGTTCACAGGTTTGTCTCACTGGCCATGATCAAATTCAACAAAGAATAACAACAAATGATTTTCAAGACAGTGATTGAGAAATAGCAAACAATATAATTTCTCACTGAATCGGCAATGTCTTCCTTTGGCTTCAAGAAGGTGAACTCCTGCTTATCTTACTCGCTTCCAGCCATAGAAAAAGAACCCTTACATTCACTGTCTGACAGTCTTGGTGACTGCTGACTCCTCACTGCTAGCACCTTCCTCACTGACTGCTGATGTCATAACTGACTGCCTCATATGGATAGTGGCTGGGGTCCCACCACCCCTATCCATCCACTTGTGTTCTGGAAAAGGAAACCACCCATTCAGTTTTGGGTGGTCAGTTTCTCAAAGGACACTACTTTTATGATTATCTAAAATCACTAACAAAATTTTATGTTTGCCAATTCAAAGGTGGCTGGGGACAGGATTCCTGAAAACCCTGGTCATTAGATTGACTTAAAAGGAAAAAAACTCTATCTATTTATCTCCTAAGGATGTGTGAAAAATCTTATTGTTACATTAGCTTTGAAACTGTTTCTCTTGTGAGAGCTTTTCTGTCTATTTATTTTTGTTTTTTAATTAACATCATTGATGAATTTTCATTTTTTTTAAATCAAATGTTATTCTTGATTTCTATTTAATGGATCTCGCAACTGATTCTGACAATGGAAAAGAAATATTTGGCTTAAAAGAAAGCTATTCCTCAGCACAAGAAAATAGACATTTTTCTTTTTTTCTCAAAAAAAAAAACAAAATAAAAAATTATTAATTTTTTTTTTTTTCTTTTTCAGTTTATTGTGCATGTTGCCTTGGTAACCATGATATGAGGGGTCTAGTGAATCAGGAAGTAACTCCCCATTTTTATATAAATATAGCAGATATTGAAGCATTAGAGACAGAAGTTGCATACATTGCTTGTAAGTATGTCTTCTTTTTTTCTCTTAAAAAAGAAAAATTGTCAAAGTTTAATATTTGTACTTGCAAAAAAAATATTGGTGTGTCAGAAGGACGTATTTTTTTAGCAATTTTTATTGCTTTACAAATCTAAAAAAAACAAATCCAGCTTCACATATTTGGGTTTTGTTAAAATTCTAAAAATACCTTTTTTAAATCAATAAAAATTGCTGAAGGAGTGTACAGTAATAGCAATATCAAGTGAAAATATGTCCTTTTAAGACAATGTTTTTTTTTGTTTTTTTTCTTTCTACCAAAAATTCTTATGTTTGACAAGCCAAATAGCCATCTCATGAATAGACAAATGTTGTCGTAGAAGTTTTCTTACCTCTTTAAAAAGTCTGTATAAGCATTTTCAGAAAGACAAATATTTTTTAAAGTTCTTTTTGTCATTATGCTAAGTCTGCTCTGTATGTAATGACATAGAACTGACCATGAGAGAAACATGTGAATAGTTTTCTAATATTCATATTAATAATGATAAAAATAAATCCATCAAATTATTTTTTTTCACTTGTTTAAATAATTTGGCACAGTTTTAAGAAAATCTAATTAAACAGATTATTTTGACTTATTCCTATAGTTCCTATTTTTTTTTTTTTTTTTTTTTTTTTTTTTTCAGCTTTATTTGTATTAATATGAAGTAGCAGATAATGCTTATTATGAACGCTGTTTTTCTAACTTAGGATTGAATTTTGACAAGACAGATATAAATTCTTTCTATACGAACACGATGAATTTTAAAAGAACTTTATCAACAGAAACATTACTTATATTGGCAATTCCTAAACTTTGAATTAAAAACAAAAATGTTTAGTAAAATATGCTTTTAAACAGTTATGCAAATTAAATATTACTGCTAATTTTGTTAATACTAATTCTTTGTAATATATATAAAAGGTAGGCACTTCAGTATAGTGTATTGGTTAGCAAGCTTGTTGTGCTAGATTAATTGCGGCTCAGTAGTGTGTTCAGTCCTCACTGGGTGCTCCATACTAATGGTCTTGTGTTACATCTAAGCTATGTGTTGGGATCTGTTTACCCATACATTTGTTTTTATCTGAGTCTCAGGATTCCAAACATTTAACAACAACAACACATCTTTTAAATGAAACATAAACAAGGTTATTTTCTAGAGGAAAATTAGAAGTAGAATGTCAGTTGAAATAACATATATTCTTTTCCGAAATATACAATAACGATAAAATGTTCAATTTTCCTTGCAATGAAGTTTGATTTATAAAGAAATTAAGTGTTCATAGGGCAGTGTGAAATGTGTGGACAGACTTTCTTTATGGTGGTCAGTCTAATGTGTTCGTGAGTTCTTCAACAAGGCCTTAGTCTATGGCTGCTGGCTGTTATCGCTTCATTGTGTGAATGGGTGTGTGTGTGTTTGCACATGTAGATTTAAACTAGCTTCTGAAATTGTTTTAAATCTCAAGAAGCAATATATTTTTTATATTTGTAAAGGGATCTGAAATCTAATTTCACATAGAGGTGCAAGTTTTTTGAATACAAGGTTTTCATTAATTAGAAAATAATTTCACACTGGCTAGTGTAAATCTTTTTTTCAAATTTGTGGGAGTGATGAAGAGTTATTATTATTTTCTAAATTATCCAAAAATAACACCTGTGACACCCACCGGTGGTTACAGTCGTTGTCCAATATGTGACACCCACTGGTGTGGTTGCCAAGCCAATATGTGACGTCCACTGGTCGCGACATCAATATATGACACTGCACCATTGACCCGTGGTCAACTCCCAGTTGCGGTGCGAAGCTGTAAGGTTTCTTCCACCAGCGTTTTGGAGTTGACTCTTTGTCGCTGCCACCAGCCTGTGTCCCAGTCGATCTGGTCATTTCCAGTTTGATACCAATTTGTTGTTCTCAGCTCACCTCCAACGCATGGTCACCAAAGTAATTGCTTTGATCTCAAGTCTAACCTACCCACGTTGTGACTTTGATCTTAGGTAGACGAAATCAATCAGGCGTCTGGCCATAGTGCAAGCTGAATCCAGAGTAAAGGTGATACTGCACAAGCGTAAGTAAAAAAAAAAAAAATATAATAAAACAAACTCAAGAGGTTCAAATATGTTGAGCAATAACAATTATCTTTATCTGTCTGTGGAATACAGGAGTGTTTCTCTCCCAGCCCGTTTCTATGGATTCGTGACACTTTTTGCATTTCTTAAGCGAGTTATGGTATCTTAAATCGTTCGTCAATAAAACTTGCTTTTGGTAGGAAGACTAAGTCGAGAGGACGTGGAAATCTTTCGGTCAGCTTCTGCGAGGCTGGTCTCCAACTCAACTCTCCAACTTCTCGAACTAACTCCAAACTCGAACTGAACTCGAACTGATCAGCTGCCTCGAGATGTTTGTTTATATGGACACTGACCAAAACCCTGTGTGGGGGCCCGACGTGGTTTGGGTTCTCAATTCCCAACAAGAATTCTCTTTGTTCTTAGGCCAGGAAAATTACTTACTTCCCATTTTTTGAAGATTAATCCCTTTTCACTTCGAGGCTTCCTCCCTTGTCCATGAGGGAAGGTTGTAGGAGAGTTATACTCCTAGACTCTTCCTCTCTCACATTGGTATCTCATACCAATCCCCTCAGTGGGTGTTAACAACTTCTGTCTTCCTCATACATTCACCTCAGCCTATCACCCATGCTACCACGGCCAATGATCTCTTGGCAGTGTGGGTGTGGCTAGACTGGCCCTCTTAGAATTATTCCAGAATTTTGTTTACAAAATCCTTTTTTTCTTTTTCCTTTTCCTTCGGCCAAAACATTTACAAGCCCCAGATTGCCAAATAATTCTTATCACATCCTGATTTTGGGGACACCCAAAAAATCCGCTTAGCCTGGACCTCTACCAACTCATTAATCACTGTCAAAACCCGACACCTGGTTTCTCCACTAGTCAACTTTTAACTGGGTGGTCGTGTTTACCTGAGAATCAAATTCTTTATTTTTCTCATGCCTTAAAATTCTCTTATCACCAGATGCTCATTTTTGAGACGCTATGTTTGAAGTCAGCAGTTTGAATAAGTAATAATAATGATTCCCTTTACAATTTCCTTCTTATACCAAGATTCGTGCATATCCCAGATGGCTTCCTTCGATGGAACCAGGAATTAAAATTAAATGATATCTCTGAAAGATAATTATTATCTATTCTCTGTGGTGGTCTCAAGCCGAAATTTTTTTTATGGTTGCATGCATTGGTTGGCTTTGTTTTTCTTTCAGAATTCTGTTTTGTTTGGCATGTCACTCCCTTATCGTGACAATAATTAATTTTGACAGAATCACAATCTTGTTTTTTCTTACGGATTTTATGTCTTTTGCGAAAGTATCTTTTTTTGTAAATAAAATAAATTCTTCTTTTTAATGTCACTCAGTCTATCTTTCGATATAGCTCTTTCTCGCCTTAAGTATTTCCTGTTTTTAATTTCTATGGTTAATTAGTTAGCCAATTACCATAGCTAAATAGTGTCATACATGGTAGGTCTACAATTACGTCTGCCAAGTATTTTGACAGTATTTGTCTTAGTAATTATTTTTTATTAAACAAACTTGATTGGATTTTATAGGTTGAAAAATATATATAGGATTTAATTCCTATATGTGTTTAGTAAATCACTGGATGTGGTGTAATGGTTAATGAGCTTGTCTCACTAGATCAATTAAGTCTGAGCAGTGAGTTTGATCCTCATTAGGTGCTCCATACTTTTGGCCTTGTGCCATATTTAAGTTGAGTAGGCATGTTAGGTGGGGGATACACAGACACAATTTAGACTTACATGAATTTACAAAAGATAATTGGATATTCTAAAATATTAGAAATTGCAAAAAACTTTTCTTTTTTTTTTTTTTCAAAAAACCCAAAAGTAGAATGTGTGTAAATGAACTATATACTTTTGTTTTTGTTAAATCCTTTGTTTCTGAATACATTGTTAGTCATCATTTTTAGGATCAAAGCATATTTGTTTTCGACCTTGTTCTTTTTATCTTTAGAGTGGGTCATTAACATCAAAAGCAAAGCAATACAGGTTGTGCATCTTTTATCCAAATCCCAAATCCCCCAAAATCAAACAGTTTTTCAGTGCCACAGATGGAAAATTTCAGAAAGCATTGGGATTGTTCCCAGATGATGTGCAGCTGCTAATCTATCCTGGGTTGGGTTGGGTTGGGTTGTCACAGCCCAGCTACATAGCCTATGTTGGCACCAGTTTTTTTGTTAGCGAATGTCACAGCAACACCTTTCACACTCAAAGATATTATTCAAAATTCAAAATTCAAAAAGTCCTTCATTTATATATTTTTGTAAATAGTGATCATGTTTATCTTGTTCACATACAGAAAGTACAAAACATTATTTTTACATGAAATCTTAATGTAACCATTTAAAGGTCTGTGTGAGTATTACATGACGAGTATCATTATCTGTATATACACAAAATTTATTAAATTTTATATAAAGCTACTTTCAGCGTATGTGTTATTTATATAAACCTTCATAGTATAAAGTATGAGCTGTGTTATGAAATGTAAAGGTATATCGTGTTTATGCTTGGGTTCCATTCCCAAGCTGCACCATTTTATCAATGTTATATGCAAATTAAATAGTCTGTATTCCAGAATGAAAAAAAATCATCTGAAAAACGAATCACTTCTAGTCCCAAGAATTTTGGTTAAAGGATTCTCAACTTGTATCTGAAGAAAACCAGAAGATATTGGCTGAAATTATCAAAGTGATAAACTCAAAAATACTTGTCCAAATGATTTGTAGATAAGATATTGTTCTTTCTAGAAGATTCAAAAGAAAACTGCTTTTTTTTTTTCTTTTTTTTTTTTTTTTTTTCATTTCATCCCCATTCTTCATCTAAGTGATTCGCATTTTGTATGACACGTGTACGAGAACCACCTCATTAAACATGTAGACTATTAGATATTAGGGGCATACAACTCTAACTCAAGGGAGATAATTAAAATGGTGGCTGTCTAAAAAAAAGTAAGATACAGATAGGCATAAATTAACCAAAATTAAAGCTTTGTGAAAACTGTAAGTACAAAGCCAAAGGGCATATACAATACTTTTTGTAACGTAAAATATCACCTTCTTAAGTATATGCTTATGGGCCATTATAACAAAGCTGACTGCCACCAGTAGACAAATATAGTGGGGTATCTGTCTATATTTCTGAGATGAGGTATTATGTACACTATTTACATTATTCGGACTATTGTCCTCATCTTTGCTGCCATATTTATCCACTATGCCATGTGTCCTTAAGGATACATGGCACACTGAATAAAGGTGTTTGTTAGATCTAGTGACAGGACCCAGAAAGTTGTGAATTCAATACCTGGTTAAGGCAGTGGAGAACTTGGAGAGGTGAATTAACAGAAGATAACTGATAACTGACATCCGTTAGACATGGCACATGGAACTAGAATAGTCTACTCCAGCAAGCAAAATAAAGGGTTCAGTTCGACATTCCAACTACCTGAAGAAGGCTGGAGCATACAACAGCTGAAACGGTGTGAAAGTTATGGCAACAAGATGAAGATAATAGTCCGAATAATGTAAATAGTGTAAATATAGTGCTGTTAGGTGTTATGGAATGACTGTCTATAGTTAAGTGTAATTGACAAGATTCTCAATAAATGATATTGACAAAATTCTCAATAAACAATAAGAAAAGGAAGAAAAAGAATAGGGCAAGATAATACTGAGCAAACCGAGGTAAAGCAACAGTAATAAAGGCAAAAAGTTTAAAGTAAGAATTGTGGTCACACACACACACACACACACACACACACACACACACACACACACACACACACACACACAAAAGGGATACAGTTCAGTGACTAGTGTTCTCATTTCAAGACGAGAAAGAATGACAAATGAAACTGAGAATTGTCCATTATTTATTGGTTAGTAAGAAATCCCAGCATGCATCTGTGAATTTGGGGAGCGAATGTTTTTAGCAATCATTCCTTTAGATTGTAATAAGATTTTTGCATACAAGGGCAAATTCCTGGGAACTTGTTGTGTATAGCAAATATGAAACTCGTAGGAAGCTGTTATCAGTTTGGTGTGATGCATTCAGAGGTATATAAATTTGCAGGATGAGCCTTGATTGATTGATTCATTCATTCATTTTTATAAGTGAATATAACAAACCAGATTGGAATTGGAACTCTGCTCTTCACTTAACAATCCGAACCATTATCCATTACACCACCTACACATTCAAGTTTACAGCAATTGGTACTCCTAAATGGTCACCTATCTAGCTACTGGTCAGGCTCAACATTGCTTAACTTTGGCGATGAAACAGGAATCGGTGTTTCAACATAATATGGTCATAAGCCTAGGATGAGCCTTGTGTAGAGTATTCTTATTTGTCAACAACAGAAGACAATATTAGACATATTGAAGCTTTGAGTTGAGATGATTGATATTGTAAAGATATGGCACAAGAAAACTTGATCTTTCAAAATTAATGATCCATGAAATCTGGTTAGGAAAGTGTCATCTCATTGAGTCCTAAAGCAACTGACAAAAGATGCCAGCTCAAGGGAATTTCATTTGAGCTTTTGGAACAATATAGAGGGAGGTGATTGGGTACATGACCTGAATGCATCTATCCTTACCCACCACTCAGAGGTCATTTATCAACAAAGAAGCTGATGGCAGCTATGTTCTAGGACGTCCAAAAGATGTGTTACTTGTGAACTTCATACTGTGAGATGCTTGACAAAAGTTGTTTACTGAAATAGGCCAAGGTGTTTATATGTTAGTAGTTCATGAAATCGTGTTGCGATACTGGAAAATGTCATTTCATTGGATCCCAATGCAATTGAAAGTGCTAGCTGCTCTTACAAATAGGTTGAGTATGCAAGACATTGACAGATTTCAAAACAGGTTAGCTGTCAAGGAAAGAACAGTAACTCACTCCTAAATTATGTAACATATGGTTCACCATAGATAGTAACCATTTCACTAGTGTATTTCAATGTCTTCTGCAGCAAAATGTCTACCTCTTTAAACAAGTCCATAAATTTACATTGACCTTGTGAATACTCATCAACCAATGGTGTTATAAGACTTGTACATTTGCATTTGCACTTTCCACATTGCAAATGGCTATTTACATGCAAAGCACCATGCTTGTTTAACTTCAGGTAATTTGTCACATTAGTTTTGAAACAATATAGGAGAAGGTGATAGGAACTTTCTGGGGATTATGACCTGGATGCATCCATTATCACCAATTCCTTACCCCTACATTCAGAAATCTGCAGTCGTCAAAGAAGCTGATGGCAGCTGTCTCCTGGGATTCAAAAAGCGTGTTACTTGTGGACTTTATATACTTCATGTTCAGACAATTATCACAGATACTGTGAGGCGCTAGAGCCATTGTCCTCAAAGTGGGATGCATGCCCCATGGAGATGGGTGGGGATTTAATTAGGGTGGGGCAATAGAAGAATGATTTATTAACAGTAATTTTTTTTTTTTAGTGAGTCTGTGAGAGTTAATACATATGGTGTGTATATGCAGAATACAAAAATATTTGTGTGTATGTAGGTAAATGTGTAATTACATCTGTATAGTATATACTATATATATATTGATATTAGTAACAATATTTTTATAAATATTCTAAAATTAAATGATGATATTATTGCATATCTGCAGTCTCAAGTTTTTAAGGAAAGTTAATCGCCTTTTAAGCTTCTTCCACATGAATAAGTGTTCACTTTTTGAATAATAAGAATTATATGTGGGGTGACATCAAGATTTTAGAGATGCTTAGGTGGGTCATGGCCCCAAAAATGGTTAGGAACCACTGGTTTAATCTGATGCACTTTTAATATAGTAAACACTAGAACATTAGGCTTCTGATTGTGGAAGTGGAGTTCACTTTTTGGATAAAAATTATATGACACTGTGGGAGTGATATCAGGCATTTAGAGATACTTAGGTGGGGCCTGGCCAAAAAAAGGTTGGGAACTTCTGCACTAGACAGAGGAATGTTGTTCATTTAAAGAAACTAGGATATTTGTGTGGGTTGTTATTCTGCTAATGCCAAAAGAGTGGCTGCAGTGATATGGTTGGAATATTTAACACTTGTTTTTTTTTTTTTTTTCTTTTCTAGGTACAACAGAGAAAATCTTTGAAAGTAAAACCCACCTGTTTGATGTTTATGTAAATAATCAAAATGTAACTACAAATTCACCTGTGCTAAAAGAATTACTCAAAGTCAGTGATGCTGACAGAGACAAATTTACGAAACTTAATAACCAAAGGTCAGTTTCTTTTTTCTTTTCTTTCTTTTTTCTTCCTGTTTCTTTTTTCTTCCTGTTTCTTTTTTTTTCTTCCTGTTTCTTTTTTTTTCTTCCTGTTTCTTTTTTTTTTTTCTTTCTTTCTGTTTCTTTCTCTCCGTCTTTTTTCTTTTTTTTTTTGATTGTGCTACTTACATCACTCTTTGTTGTTTTTCATAAGTAATAGTCCCTTCCCAAAGGAGGTAGCACAGTGGTCTTTTCAAACAATAATTCCTGCTAGTCTTTGGTTGAAGGCAAGGTAGTAGAATGAAAAAAGAACTAAATATCAATTGTAAGAACACAGAATTATGAAGTGGAAAGATTATATTGAACCCATTGCTAGGTCAGCTGCTAAAAAAATTGGTCACTGTGTCATGCTAGAAATTTTACTTTTTAGAATCTATCTTACATATCTATAAGTTTACCATTCACCCATGTGTAGAATATTACTGCCACATATGGTCCAGTGCTACTTGATAAAATGCAAAGAAGAACCAGCAATATTATTGGTCTTGGCATCTCAGCCTCAGTCACGTAAAGTTGCCTCCCTATGCCTTCTCTATTAATACTTTCATGGTAACTGTTCGGATGAGCTCTTCGCTATGGTACCTAGAATTTATGAATTTAAGCACAGTACTAAACTGGCAACAAGTTCTTATCAATTTACAATTGAATTGGCTAGATGTAACCGTAAGTTCTATGCTAACAGTTTCTTTTCTTGCACTTCTTGAATGTGGAACACTCTTCTGGCTCCATGCTTTCCAGTCAACTTTAATCTACAAAAATTTAAATGCAATGTCAACCACTATCTATTGTCTTCCTGATTACTTTTCTATTGTTCTTGCTTCTTAGTAATGTTTCTGTTGATGCTTAAATAAGTGCAGTACTAGATTGGCAGCTAGGTCTCATCCCTTTAGTGTTGAAATGACTAGATGAAACTATAAGTTCTATGCTGTGTCTTATGTGTTTCTTGCTTGTGGAACTCTTTTCCAACTTCTTGTTTTCTTCAAAAATTTAAATGCAATGTCAATTGTTATTTTTTGTTGTCTTAATTCCTTGTTCTTTTACTGTTCAATCTCTTTAATGTTATCTGTTTTGCATATTCTTTCACTTTCAGTAAGCTCATGCATGTTAGTGGCTTTATTGCCTTGCTTGGAGTGAAACAATTAAGAAAAAGAAAGGAATTTTGATATTTAGCCAGATTCTGTAGGTTGGGCTGAGAACTTTTCAGCATTCTATTGTACTATTAAAATAATAATATATTGCCTATGTGTGTGGAGACACGGTGGAGTAATGGATAGCAGCTTGGATTGGAGAGCTGAGTTTGAATTCTAATTGAGTTCATTTTCATTGCATTTACTTATATGCTAATACCCTTGGAAGAGGTATGAATCCATCTCTTTTCCCCCCAGCTATGAGTAAATAACAGGACAGACTGGGCTTTATAGCCAAAGTTTGTAACCAGTCTAGGAGAAGGAAAACTTGCATTGTAGGTCTTGCCTCTTTAACTTGATGTAGGACTCTGTGTTGAGTCTGAGGCCCTCACCAACAAATCCGGGAGTTCTTTCTTTATCAGAACAATCAGTGTTTTCCAAGCTGCCATACCTTTGTAATCAGCATTAGACTCCTCCAACTCTTTCCGAATCCTCTGCACTCTACACAGATTTACACTCAGAAACTTTGAAATGTTTGTAATGGAGCTTCCAGCACAAATGCCAGGCAGTACAGCATGCCATTTTGCAAATTTCTGATGGAGTGAATTGGATCACGGTGCTTTTTTTTTTTTTTTCTCTCTCACAAATGGTGCCCTACTGATTCTACTATATTGTGTCGTCGACAAAATCAAAATCAAGCAAATGTGCATGTGTGAAATTAAAAATATAAAATGCCGACAATTTATCCATCGCACCCTGTATAATAAAATATTTAATTTTTGCTTTTATTTTATTTATTTTTTTTTTTTTTTTTTTTTTATTTCAGATCTGCTAATTTGTTTTCAATGGAAGAACAAAATAAACAAACGATGGATGAGGAAGAGCTATTCACGACGTAAGTTCGAAATTAGTTTTTGTTTTTCTTTCTCCATTTGCTGAAATTCTTCTTTTTTTTTCTTTTTTTTTTTTTTTTTTATTGCTTCTCCCTATCCAAAAAACTATAATTAATTTTTGTATGCTTGTTTTTCAAGAGGCCTGGTTAATTCCAGAACATTTTTTTTTATGTATCAGCACTTTATTCAAGTATTCGAAATAATTACTCAATGAGATTTCAACTATAAAACATTCATTTATGATCAACTATAACAAGTGATTGATCTGCAAGTACTTAAGTTTAGTACTTATATTTTGCAAGAACTACTTAATGAGATTCTTTTGCCTTGACCTGGGTTGAAATTGGCCCAGGCATCACAAACTGTTTCTTTGAAAATAAAACACTGGTTTTGTAAACCATAAAAGTTCTTTTTACTGAATTTCAGGAATAAGTTACTTCTCGAGCCAGTATTGACCGAGTAGCCACTCTTCGGGCCCGTATTGACCGAGGAGCCACTCTTTGGGCCCGTATTGACCGAGGAGCCACTCTTGGGCCCAGATGACCGAGGAGCCACTTGATGACCGAGGAGCCACTCTTCGGCCCAGATGACCGAGGAGCCACTCTTCGGGCCCGTATTGACCGAGGAGCCACTCTTCGGGCCCGTATTGACCGAGGAGCCACTCTTCGGGCCAGTATTGACCGAGGAGCTACTTCTCAAGCCCGTATGGACTACTCCTCGGGACAGTTTTGACTAAGGAGATAAATTCTTGGGCCACTGTTCACAAAAAAGTTATTTCTTGGGCTAGTATTCATAAATATTAGAATGTCTTTGTTGTTTCTATTTTCTAAATAAGTGTTTCTTTAGAAATTTTAATCTTTAATTTTTATCCATATTGATTATTTTTTATTTTCAATTATTTCTTCAGATTTTTTGCAGAGCAAAATAACCGATTATTCCAAACTTTATTGGATGTGTCATCATCCCAGGACCGACAACTGACCTCAGACCACATGAAGCTGATGGGGCTGGACCCTATTGGAGATCGTGTCTTTCTCATGGAATTAGTTGAACACTATGGTATTGATGTTGTTCTCATGGTCGATAATCCTTGTTGTCCTAAGTAAAATCCCCAAAACAAAATTATTATAATCATTATTGTTATTAATCAAAGCTAGTTAAGGTTTTCTTTCATTGTCACTTTATTGGATAAACCTCTTCATTGAACAGGTGTTTAAAATCATATATTTGATTTTGGTCCCCCCCCCCACACACACACACTACTTGTTTTTGTTTTTTTTTTTTTTGTTTTTTTTATTTTATGCATGACTTGGGTTTCTTATGAATTTCTGGAATGAGAAGTTAATATTTACAGCTGAGCTAATGTCCTCATCTTTTTGTTACTATTACAATGTTTCAACCATAATGTCCTCAAGCCTTTTTCATGTGCCTGCCATAACTGGGTAACCATCAAGGAATTTCAAACTGAACCCTTTATTCAATCTACAGTGATAGATTGTTCTTATTCTGCTGTCCATATTTAGGAATGATATCTCATCTTGATTAATTGTTAATCTATTGCTAGTTCTGTTTCTGATGAGCCTGAACATATCTGTACTCTCCAGCCTAGGGGTTGAACTTTCAGTTAAAACATTGGTTGGTGAATTTGGTGGCATAACAAGTTAATATCTGGATCAGTTAGTAAAGATATACTCAAACTCAGTGAAAACGTGATGAGTAATAAATTAACAATTAATCAAGAAAAGCAATAGCTGAACAATTAACAAAGATGAGATATCCATAGATATCTACTAGTGTAGATTGAATAAAGGAATCTGTTTGAAATCTTCCAGATGTTATCCAGATCAACATTCCTGAGGAAGGCCTGAGAGCATAACAGCCAAAATATTATAGTAACAGCAAAGAGGAAGACATTAGTCCAACTGTAAATAATCATTTGAGTGAGAGCACAATGTTGGGTGGAATGTTATGTCAATATACCTGGAGTCTATCTGCAAGGATCTTGACATTCTCTCAGTAATTCTAATTACTTTGTTATCATAAAGATCCAGGCATTAGAAAATTTGACAATTTACTAATTTAAAATTAGTCATTTTTGACTGGTCAGAACTGACAAGAAATAACTAATATTAGGGTCCTTATTTATTTATTTATAGTAGATGCAGCCACGAATTTGCTGAAAAAAGAGCATACCATACTGAAAAAATGCCCCAAACTTGATAAAAACAGTTTTATTGTCAAAACTTAAGTTATTATTAAGAGGAAAGACCAAAGTATTTTTTTTTGATTATTTAATTAAATTTTTTAAATCCATTCTCATATATTCAAAATTTTGGTTAAAAATCTTGTTTTTCTTGCATCAGTGGGGACACTAAAGATTAGTTAATGCTTAGTACAGGAAATTGTAGCATCCTTTTTGCAGTTAAAAAAAATACATTAATTTGGAAATTCTTGAAAAACATCAATTGTCAGATTTTAATGAAACATTCAGGACTTATTCACAAATGAATGAAATTATTTTAGAAATTTTTAGTTTTAGAAAATCTTGTTAAATTTACATCTGTTACCCCCTCATTCACTTAATTTTATTAAATTTCACCCACTTAATATTTACATTAGTTAAAAGCAGGACTCCTTGGAGAATTTAAATCATGAATTTTTTTTTTTCGTAAAACAGAAACACCATTTACCAAAAATCTACTCTGAATTGTAAAACAAAAATGCAATAAAACTGTGACTTTATTTAATTAGGAAAGCTTTTAATTGCTTTTAAAAATAAGATATATTAAGGATTACTATTGGCTTGAGAAAAAAATTTTCAATGAATAATAAATTTTTATAAGAATTGTTTTCATTTTTTTTTTTTTTTTAAATTTTAATTAGAATAATTTATTAGGTTTTAAATCTTTCAAAATTCTGTATTAATTTCACCCTTTTAGATGATATTAAGAAAAAACTATATTTACTAATCATTAATGAAAAAGCTTAGTACAAATCATCAAACACCAATATTTTTAAAAGAAATAATTTTTTTTTTTATATGTATAAACATGATGATTTTTGTAGATATAGATGTTTACGCATCACATTACCAAAAAATAAGAGCAATAATTAAGTAAATTTAAAGCCAAAGTATCTAAAATTCAATAAAACATTAGATTACGGAGAATAATTTCCTAAATTTTTAAGATTACTGAGTACTTAAAAATTATATAAAAAAGATGCTCATGTTATAACCTTCATTTATTTTTTATGGATGAAGCTCCTGAAGAACAACATTAGACAAACATCCCTCTGTTAGCAAGTTGTCAACACTTAACAGTTTAAATAAACTGCTACTGGCTGTGTTAAAAAAATGCCTTTCTGCAATATTTTAAACTTAAAGTAAATAATACTTGTTTCAAATCAGATTAATTAATCTTTAAATCAGCTAATATTCCCCAAATAAAGTTTCAGAGAAGTATGTTTTATTTTTGGAAGATTTTTAAATAAAATGGATTACATTCTGATGACAGGTGACTAAAAATGGCACTAAAGTAAAAAAAAAAAAAAAAAAATTCAGCAATTTCAAAACAAAAACTCCTCCCAATGAATTTAAATTTGTTTTGAAATGCAGCAAAGTATTTTTGCTTATTGGAAATATTAATCTATTGACTTAAAAGTAAAACTAAAATAAAAGCTTCAGGATTTTTTCATTTTTAAATATTCATTTTAAATCTTTGTATCACGAATCTGTAAAGGTACCTAATTTCTACCAGAATAATTTAAAAACAAAATATGTTTAAGGATTTGCTGAAGATGAAGTTTCACTTTTCTTTCTGACTTTTGGCCACATCATGTTGAAACATCAGTTTCCGTAAGATCACCAAAGTTAAGCAACATCAAGCCTGGTCTGTACATTGATGGGTGACCACTTGGGAATGCCAGGTGCTGCAAGCTTGGATGTGTGGTCAGACTTGTTAATCAGAGGGCCGAGTTTCAATTACTGTTGGGTTCGTTATATTCACTTATGTGCAAATACCCTTGGAAAAGGTATAAATCCACCACTTCTCCCCCAGCTATTGGTTAATTAGTAAGACTTATATCACTAAACCATTTCTGGCTTTAAATAACCTGCAAAGGTTTGATAAGCCAAAGAAAACAAATCAATCTTTTTTTTTTCTTTTTTTTTTTTTTTTTTTTTTTGTTTTGTTTTTTTTTTAAAACTTTAATAATTCTGTGTTTGTTTTCCTCAAAGGCTTTAATCATCTTAAATTATTGTTGTCCTTTCAGTAACAGACGCCGTTGTTATTCAAGTATTGTTATAAACATGTAAATAAAATTTGTACTAATAATATTTGGGGGATACAGTTACATTGTGTTTTGCAAGATGAGGTTGAGAAAGATTTTTTTTTTTTTTTTTTTTTACTTATTTCTTTATGAATGTTTTTGCAAAAGTATTTTTTTTCTTAATATTTGAACGATGCAATTTTTGGTTTTAAGATGTTCTTAATAGAAAAAAATAAAACTAATTTTGCAACAAATACTTTATTTTATGAACATGATCAGCATGTTGTGGCCTTGTTCATAGTTCTTTTTTTATTAATAATGCTTCCCATTATGTTTAGCTTTTTTTTTTTTGCATGTGGATGAGGTTATTATATTTGTATTGTCAACAAGTATGTTGCAGATGGAGTTGGGTAGGTCACTGTGTGTATTTAAATGAGACCTAATAAAAAATGAAAAAGCCAACACTCAATAACATCAACTATGAACACAGCCACAATGTGTTGACCTTGTTTGGAAAATAAAACAGTCCTATAACTCTAGATACATACACAAAAATAATTCCATCCATTCAGTTAAGTTAAAAACGAATATATTGACAATTTCTACATCATTCATGTCTAGGAACACAAGAAAAATAAAAAAAACTGCAGTTCCTTGTCAGTTGCTTTTAATGAAATAAGAGATTGCTGCACAAATATATATATATATATATATGTATATATAATATTAATTAATGAATTTTGCTCTGTCTCTGACATAGAGCTCTCTCAGGATCTATATCCTCTTGGAAATCCCATACGGATTACCACATATATAAAAGGAAACATTGAAGTCAACACTAAGAGGCGACAGGCTGTTTCATGCTAGGCACAACCGTCAGACCACGAATGTTCATTGTTTAAGAAAAAAAATGATGTTCATTCGCAGCCTGATGATTGCGCCTAGCATGAAACAGCCTGTTGCCTCTGAGTGTTGATTTCAATGTTCACTTTTATATTTATATTTACATACGCTCTCTCTGATATTGAGCACATTATCCCATAAATATCGCACACCTTAAAACTATATTTTTTCATATATATATATATGAAATGATAAAATATAGTTTTAAGCTATGCTATATTTATAGAGTAAAAGTGCTCAGTATCTGGCTAGTGTATGTAAATATAAGAAGTGTGGTCACTGATGTTAACACGGAATGGCGATAGTTGTTTCATGTTTGAATGCAAACTTCAGGCCTGAAGGTTGCGTTCAACTATAAAACAGACTGTTACCACTTGGTGTTGAACTCTGTGTCCACACTTTTCATATGTAATTTCTGCAATCGTTATTTTGTACACCTATTTGAGTTGTTATACTTTTGTATTTCTTTTTCTCTTTTTTTTTTTTTTTCTTTTTTAAAACAGTGAAATTAATAACAACTGGCCTAGATTAAGAAGTCCTACTAAAGAAAGATTGTGCCTCTGACAGGAATTGAACCTGTACCCCACTTTTCCATCAATTGTTATTAATTTCACTGTTTAAGAAAATAACAAAACTGATAGTGACACAAATATGTGTACCCACTAAAAATGATTGTTTGTGATAAGAAATAATATCGGATAAAAAATAAATAATATATAAATATATATATATATATATATATATATATATATATATATATATATATATATATATATATATAGGTTAGTTAATAAAATGAGGACAAACAAAAGGTTAACAATATAATCAGTATGATAAACATTTAATTATTAACCATGACAAAAATAAGCACAGAAAGAAATTTTTTAAGTTCAGAATTTTTAGACACATATATGTCCTTCATCAATGGATCGAGAAATAAACAGAGAAATGGGAATGACTCACTGACAGTTGTTCTTGTGGATGGTGTGAATTCCGGTGGAGATCGTATTATTAGCAAAAATCTGATTCCTCGGTTTGCGAAACTTTTTAACTTTAAAAAAAAAATACTTCTATCGGTGAGTAATTCCCATTTTTCCGTTTATTTCACCTTCCGTTTATGAAGGATACAGGTGTGTCCAAAAATTCTGAACTTAAAACTTTCCTTTCCATGCTTCATTTCTGTCATATGGTTAATATTTAATAAATGTTTATCATACTGATTATATTGGTACCCCTTTCATTTGTCCTCGTTTTATTAACTAAGCTATCTATTTTACATATTATTAGAAGTACATGTGAACCCTTTTTTCTATATTTATTTATTTTTTTTATTTTTTTTTTAAGGCTTCTTGATTGGGCAGAGAACTTTTCAACACTCTCTTGCATGCATTCATTGAATTTTTCCCTCACATTTTTTTTTTCTCACCTGGCTTAGGTTTGTGAATTTTCTTTTTGATATTGATAAGTATAAAATAAGTATAATTTTATTTTAAACATTCATTTTTTTTTTTTTTTTTTTTTTTTTTTTTGAATTCAAATTTTTTTCAAATACTTTCATCCTGTTATTTCTGATAGTGATTACGTTAAAATTTGGGTACACTTTGTGTACAGCCCTTGTCACTTTAAAAAAAGGACCAGTTAAATTCATTTTCTTAACTTTTAATATTTAATATTAGTTAATAAACATCACAAGATTTAGTTACTTTTAATGAATATTCTTTGATCTCATATTTCATTGCCACATTGAAGATAATAAAAATTTAACTTTTTCTATATAAGAAATTTTTCCCCTTGAAGTTGTGGGCCAGTATCTTATTGCATGTAACTGGAAAAATTGTTTTACCATAACCAATATTTTAAACCTTGTAAATTCAATAATTTAATGACATTTTTATGTCAATCTTCTAAAAATGAAATTACTGATATTTGTCAAATGTAAATAATTTCAAATGTTAAGAGGTGCAAATCCTCTTTATCTTGTTGCTTGCGTAACAATTGCGATGTTCATATTTTTTACTGTAATTTATTTACTTGTTGAACTGCTTGTTTTTTGTTTTCTTTCTACTTGGGACAATGTTCAAATGTATCCACTTTCCTCAGAGCATTTTCTTTCTTTTAAATTACAGTTGATAACAGGTGCAAGATCACAAAATGTTCACCCAATACAAGGCCCAAGAGCCACTCGTGGTAGAGCTTTATTGTGTGGAGTTATGTTAGTGCGGGAAAGAAGTGTTAGGAGCACAGAGCAGAAGCAGTTTTAGAAGGAACTGGAAACCCAATCCTAATGAGGAAATAAGGGATAAATCTCTGTTCCTCTTCAAAAGACCAGAGAGGTGTGTATGATAAAGTTTGTGTGCACTTTAAAAAATTTATAACTTTATTTGTATTTGCAATAGAAATAATTTGTAAAAAGGATTAGAAAGAAGTAAATCCATATTTTTTAAGGTTTTATTGAAATTTTATTTAAGTTTCTACATGTCCTCCATCATTAGCAATACAAAGGGTAATACAATTTTGTAGTTCGCGGAAAACATTTGCCAACTGATTTACAGTAATGCCTGAAATCACATTAGTTATTTTAGCTATACTTAAAACTAGGTACATTAAACTTTATAACATTTTTTACAGATTATTTCTATCACAAATACAAATAAAGTTATAAATTTTTTAAAGTGCACACGATCTTTATGGACACCCTGTATAATTTTAAGATGTGCTATATTTATGGGTAAATCTGCTCAATATCATAGAATGCAGATCGATTGACATAATACATACTTTCTTTCAAATCTGAGTATCCATTATAGCAACATTTGTAGTGAGATATATATATATATATATATATATAAAATTTCTTCTTATATACATCAACTATATGATAGTCTGCCCTTAAATTGACCAATTCCAATAGATTTTTGAAAGTGCTTAATACCTCATCTGTAAACTAATATTCATTAATATTATTTTAAAAAGATATAGGAACCTAATCCACCTAATGTAGTTTCACCTCTCAGATCTTAAGAAAATATTTGTGTGTGCGTATGTATATATAATGATAAAATATAGTTTTAAAGCATGCAATATTTATAGGGTAAAAATGTTCAATATCTGGTATAGAGTATATGTAAATACAAGCAGTGCAGTCACATAGATCAAACCTAAATGGTGATAATCTGTTTAATACTTGAACACAATTTTCAGGTCATATATTTGAATATCAATTCATGACCAAGTACAATCACTTTTCATACCAGTTCATTTATCTCACCCATTCTTTGATGTTTTGTTAAGTGGCATTTGAGCTCAACCATCATGTGATGCATGTAAGTTTACCACTAAAAGTCCACTTGACAATTTGCAAAACTTATCACAGATATTGCCTGTCAAACTTTACTGAACATTGTACTTGTTATGGTCCAGGTCCTTGTACCACGGTGATGGTCCAAGGTAGAACCAATATTACAACAGGAATATATACAGAGAAGTAGAAAGTGTTAGTATGAACAATCAGGTTTAGTAGGGAGAACAATGTAGTTTCGACCAGTATCACTATTCCAATGTCTTGCAGTAATTGTCTGAACGTGACTCTGTTTCGGACTGCCTCTGCCTCTGACTCGACTGACTGACTGATTCGCTCTGACTGACTGACAGACTCCTGACGGACTTCACTCCAGACTTCAAACTCAACGGTAGTCACAGCCCCCAACCCCCACGAGGGCATCATGTGGCACAAGGCCAGTTTATCGTGGGATCTCCGAGCCCATG